AGATAGATAGATAGATAGATAGATAGATAGATAGACAGACAGAAAGACAGACACGGATGGACGATAGGATGGATGGATGGATGGATGGATGGATGGACGGACGGATAGATACGTACGTACGTACGTACATACATACACACTACTCCTGGAAACACCAAGCCTGAAGTAGCCTGAAGATGACGAATGAGACTTCGTCGAAACGTCGCCAAGACATCTCCAATTCTACGCGGGAGAAAACCCGAAAAACTAGAGAGACCTACATACTAATACCCGTGAAAACCTCAGAAAACATACACACACACACACACACACGCTACTCTATAAATTAAGACTAAAGAGCGTAAGGAACTGGGTTCAAGAGAATCTTGTGGACTAATATTCATTTTTATTTACATATGTGAAGTGTTGCCTTGGAACCTCTCAAGTTATTAAATACAGACTAGGATGTGTGTTTTGAATAATACTTACTCTTCTTTTATTTTCAGTTTTTCTCTTGCTTGTTGATTTTTGTCCATGATAAACCACTGGAGAGTTACTAGATCACACACTACTGGGATGATGAAGTGACCAAGTTCATGAAGACTTGGTGCATATCTGTCACTGCATAAAGGAAAGAACAAACAAGTTGATGTTGCTATTTGTAGCCAAAATTATGTAACATTCATATCAAAAAGGCTTAATTAAAAATAAAATACGCTTTAGAATTTTTGGGAAATGTGCAATGATTTAACATAATACCACAATATAATCTCCACCCAATTAAATATATTAAGCAAGTTACACCTCTAGTACTTTAGCAGCTTTGATTTCATAATTAGCGGTCTTTTGTAATTATCCTTTAATCTTTCTGACTTCCAAGTCTGCTTTGCAGGCTAGAAGACTATAAAGTGGAGGATGTGTATTTTAGGACATGCAGAAAATTGTATGTTTTAGTAATTCTGTAACCCTAACAGAAAGAATGACCTTCTACTAGTTTATTTCTGGAATAAGAGAAAATAATTATACTAGGAAATTTTTATGGCTGATTTAAAGTTCTGTGATCCCTCAATGCCTCTGTGGAGAACATGTGGAATATAGAGAACTCAAGGAAAGTTTTTTGTATTGCTAGCTATTCCAGTCTATGGAATGTGGTTTGAAGAGTGTTGTACAAGAGAGAAGTAGGAAATACATTATTTTAAAATGATTTATAATAATTTTTATTTGTAGCATGTTTTTCCTTCATTTTAAGTGACTACTTTTTGATTGCTCTATTTTTAAGGAAAGATCTGAAGCAGGAAAGACTTTAATTAAAACAATTGTTCAATACATAAAATACTATCTTTTGAAATGATACTTTTTCAGAAGCTTTGCAATAGAAATCCTTATAAAGAAATCTGTAGCTTTATTTATTGGAGACTTTTTCTAAATTCAGTTACAATTGCAGACTTATTACCCAGTGATAAATGCACTTTACTGTAGTCTGATAAATGATCTAAACATAGAAAAGAACAGAAACACACACATTTATTATTTAAAAAGCTTCAAGTTTCTAATATTCTGATGATATGTCCAAAACCAATTGAACCATAGTCACAGATATTCAATCCATAATAATAGTTTTGTGATACCCAAAAAGTTAATAATAATTTCCTAAAACTTAACATAACTAGAACTCTGCCAATTTTCAACACATTCATATCTTTCAAGATGTATCTTGTGGTATAGCCATGCCTTTAACATTATATGTCTCCAAACTTGTTAATAATATTAGTCTCTCTATTTGTCCTCAACTACAAAACTGCTTGCTAACATACATTTCTGTTCTGCAAAATCGGGATTTCTTTTTGAAAATGAAAAAATTGGCTAAATTAATTTATGTGGATTATATGGTAAGTTTTAGAACTTCTTGCTATTTAAGTATTTTCCAAAATATACCACTTTAAAAATATTTTGATATGCTCATAATCTTCTGAAGAGAGAACCAACATAAAGAATTAAAATGAAATAATATAATGGATATGGAAAATAAAGAAATAGAATATAGAAAATAAAGCAATGGAAACAGATGTAGTCAATTAGGTGAGAAATATGATATTCCAGATTATGACTGACCTTATTCATGAATTAAAAAGCTTTACATAAGTTTTAGGTAAAATGGGAATAACAGCAAAGGTCTGCTGTTATTTGAAATGAATGCAAAATATCTAAGTTAGATTAGCACAGACCTGAAGTAATAATAATAGTATGTACATGCATGCAGGTATATATTGTTTGTGTGACAGAAAGTGAGTGAGAGAGAAAGAGAGAGAAAGAAAATTAGGAAAGAAATTTCCTTCCAATTATAGCTATAGCATTTCACATGAAATATTCTAACAGATGGCGCAGGAATATTTTCCAGTGGAGCTATGTCATGATTAGGCTGCCATTTAAAGAGGGTGAAAGATATGATAGTAACCAACCTTGTCTTGATTCAAAGTTTGTACTAATGTTAAGTTCTGAAGCTTCATTTTACTACAAATAGCTGCATCAAACGGAACAAAAACTTCTGCTGCTTATGTAAAATGATATATTGGGCAGATAAGAAAGAACAATTGGTTCAGTGATCGAAAGTTCTTCAATCAGAGAGATCTTTGTAATCAGACCACATCAGTAACCACAATCACAGCATGAAGGATGGATGACAAGCTCATGGGAGGCAAAGAAAGACTGCTCTGCAGCTGAAGACACTGAGTAATAATAGGAAAAGGACAGGTCTGGAAATTCTGGAAACACTTTGGAAGCAAGTAGTAAGGTTTGGATACAAAAACACCTACAAAAGTCAGAAATATTCATTTGTCAACACTTTAAAAAAAGTAAAGATAGTAAAGATAGTCCAAGCTTGAAAAAACTGTTGTTACATAAAATATCAAGATAGCGTGATAATTTCAATAAAAATGTATTTTGCACAGGGAGTGGAATTACATACTGATGGTTGCTGCCTGAATTGTGTAGCATGATAGATCTATGATATGATGTCAGATTCAAGAAAAGGGTTTTGTTCAGTTAGGGAGCTAGTGAACATGCTACTGTCAAAAGAAATGGCAAGAAATTCAAGAAAGTGATTTGGATTGAAATGGTTCCCCTTGTGCAAATGATCTGTTCATTGCCACTTTACAGAACTGGAGCAACAGAACTATAATGCATGCAGTCAATGAAAAGACGGTTTGGTATAGTGTTTAAAATGCTGGATTAGAATCTGAGAGATTATAGTGCATTCTAATCCCATGTTAAGCATGTAAATTAGCTAGGTGACTTTGGCTATGCGTTTTTATCCCTGGTTACTAAGAGTCCCCAGAAATTATAGAAGTCATGTTCAAAAAAATTATCAAGGGAACTGTCACCAAGAGTCAGGGAGCAACTATTATCAATTGGTGTCTGGGGGGGGGGGGGGAAGAATGACTAAGCACAATTTTTAACACAATAAATTGGGGTAATCTCCTGAATGAAAACAGAACATTGTTATTGTGTTTTTCCCCTACATTATAATTCAGGGCCGGAAATAAATTAGAACACACTATCCCTACAGCAGCCTGGGGAGTGGACCATTCTTAAAGCATGAGATTCAGCCCTTGCAGTAAATTAAGTGGCTTCCTGCATGGGTCTCCTTTTCTGCAACTATATCCAACAGCAGAAACTGAAATATCCTTATGTTCAAGTACCTTCTCCTCATTTCCTCACCCCCAGATGTGCTCTGATCTTAGTCAAAATAAGTATTGTAGAAAAACCAACTGACTACAACATAACTATCATTAAAGATAAACCTAGGAAACAATATCTACTTCTTTAGATACACACCTTTCTAGAATCATTTGCAATCCACGCAGACTATTAGGGTGAAATGGAAGTCTCTTATTATGCACTTGATCATAAAAGTTGTCAAGAATAGAGTAATACTCTTCAATTGTCAACATTGGCTGAAGCTCTTCAACATAAGTTATTTGTATGCCTCCCAAAAGTTGGCTAATGCGCTCCTCTAGAAATAGCACTTTTTTTTGCAGTGTAGAGTAACTTGGTAACCTCTCAAAAATCTGCACAAAATGAAAGATTTTCTTAAAAGTTCATGACAGGATTAAACACTCCTCCAATTTTCCAAACTAAGCAGTTTTTAGAAAATAGGTTAGCATTAAATGTAATTTTTAAAAAGGTACACACCAGTTTTTAAATGTTACTATAATGAACATTGTTATATATTCAACACAATTTGCCCAGAATTTGTTGTACAATTTTCACTTCTACCAACTTGTTGAAAAAAGCTGGTGTAATTTTTCAAAAGAAATAATATACACAGGGGACACTGGTATTACTAAATACAATACTCTATTTGCTATTTTTGTACTTCTATTATTTGTGCCCTATATAATATTAATGTGCAGAAACATGAGAAGTCATACTTGCAATTAACTAAAGTGCTGATGCATATGTCAGCTTTCCTTTGAAGCAAGGGAAGAGTTCAAAAGCCAATTGGACAAAAGATGCATCCCAACATTGCCCTCTTTACCAGGGTTAAGAGACATATTGAAACTAACTTTAAACAAAAAAAAACATATTAAATGGTAAATATAGACACTGATTTATCAAACTATATTAAGATTTCTACATAACATTTTTTTGCATCTACTTGGTCAGATTTTTCTTACTTTCTATAAATAAACCAATATTTCAGAGAGCATTCTCTGCAGAGAATGTCATTGGAATGGAACAGTTATCGTGTGAAATGGTTGTTTAGAGGTGAGATTATGTTTGAATGATTATTTGACTATGTGACTGTTGTGACAGTATGTGTTACTGTGGTGGATAAACTTCAGGTAATAAATAAGTTAGATGACAGATACAGAGGGGGGAAAGGGGGGAAGGGAGGGGGACCCATATGCTGAGTACTAAAAGAAATCCTACTTTGGTCCAATGGTGATGAACGTCCATTGTTCCTAGCATAACATAGCCTGTTGCATTCATTCCTGAGCGGTCTGTAAATATCACTGTTTGTCCTGTTGGAAAGAGAAATCATAGTTCAGGGTGGATATGGGAATGGTCATTTCACAAAAAAGGAACAAGTATGCTAGAAAATGAAACTTTCTTGAATACATGGAGATTTTTTCTTCAAAGTGGGTCAAATGTGTACAGCATATATAAATGTAATATGGGCTGGTGGGAAGACAGAATAGTATTTCAATCCTCTTTCTCTGTGGAGCAGGAGCAAACATATATTTTTTATTCTAGGAGATTCCATTGCTCCAAGAGTTAGGGTATTGAATTGAATGATTTTTTTTTCTCTGTTGATTAACTAGAAGAAAACTAATTGACTCATGGTGTTCTCTGTCTATTTCCTAAGTCTGAAAGTTAACAGAAGAGAAAAACAATTAACTGATTAGGAATTAGAAGTGGAAATAGAAAGTACAAATAGTGCCATGTGGAAGTGTTTTAAGTTAGACAAACAGGTTAAGATTATAGTAAGGAAAGGTAAATATACTTAGTTATTGGAATTCAAGATAAATTGCTGAGGAAAACTCTGCTTACAGGTGTAGAGAGAGATGGAGTTTCTTTAGGACAAATATATTGCTCTAATTTCTACTTTAAAAAAAAGTTTTACTAGGTCTGTGTTAATATGCTTTGTATTAGGCTTAATGTTCTGAATTCTTTTAGTTAATGAAATTACAACTAAAGAAAACTGCAATAGGAAAATGTACCTTTAGCATGCTTAGGTGCTTCTGGATTCTGGTGCACTAAGCGACTTAGGCTATGTAACTGGCTACATCGATGAGCAATACCCCAACTCCTCTGCCACCTAAAAAAACAATTCAAATTTTTATTTAGTTGAAAATTTTACAGCTATACATAATATTGATAGTTGATTGAAAAAACAGTATTTTAAATGTTTCTGCAATATAAATAATTCCAATTTCATACCATGCACTTTCTTTATCAGATTTAAATATTAAAGGGAAAGTTTAAACAATGAGAAAAAATAAGTCAAAATGATTGTTTAGGAAGTTTTCTTCTATTTAAATAGTAACAATGAATTAGACTATATCAGTAGTCTGCATCAGTATAGTTACTACTTATACTACTCCATTTCCCTAAAAAATCAGCCCTATCCCAAAAATAAGCCCTAGCATGTTTTCTGCATGTGCACCCAATATAACCCCTACCCCTAAAATAAGCCCTACTTAAGCACCTGCACAGCTGCCCATTCCGTCTAGTTGCTCACAGTACCTACAGGAGGTGAACTGTGGCGAGGTGGTGGGGTAGAACTGCCACATACATACACCAGCTTACCTCAGGGACCCCGCAGCCAGGCCATCCACACTACAACTGCCTCACAGCAGCAGTACCAGCACCAGCAGCCATGTGCAGGAGGACCCCATGTGGCAGCCAGCACATTCCAATTCCATCTCCTTGAGTATAGGGTCCCCACAGGGCTGTGTTTTGGGTCCACTACTATTCACCTTGATAATCCACGACCGCTGTGCCAAATATGCTATGCATCACATGGTGAAGTATGCAGATGACACGGCAGTGGTGGGTCTTATCTGGGATGACAATGAAGATGCTTATAGAGAAGAGGTAAAGGCCTTGGTGCAATAAAAGTAACCTGGTTCTAAATGTTAATAAAACAAAGGAGATCATCATAGATTTTAGAAAGAGCCAGCATAGTCATACTCCACTCAGTATCAAGGATGCAGCTGTAGAAGTGGTCAACAGTATTAAGTATCTGGGGGTACAGATAACTCTGTATGTATGTAAGCATGTATCAGTGGTGGGTTGCTACCGGTGTTACTACTGGTTCGGTGAGTGTGCGCCTTGCGTACGCAATTGACCGAAAAATACTGAGAAAAAAAGGAAAAGAGCTGAGGAGCGGCAATTGAAGCTGCTGCCCCAGATTAGCTGGGCTTCAGAAGCTGAAATAAAGGTATGTATACCCCAGGTGCAGGTGGGCGGGTCCACTTTCAAGGGAACATAGAACAAAGGTTCGCTCTCTGTCTGAATGAAGCACTACTGTTCGGGAGAACCGGTCCAAACCGGTAGGAACCCACCACTGGTATGTATGTATGTATGTATGTATGTATGTATGTATGTATGTGGGGTGAAATGCTACTGGTTCGGGCCGATTTGCCCGAACCAATAGTAAAAAAAGCTACTGTTTTAGGCGAACTGGTAGTCAGCTGAGTGACAATCAGCTGTGCCGTGCAATTTATATTCGCTAGAAAACAGGAAATCCTGCTTTCTAGCGAATCTATCGCACAGTACAGCTGCCCTCCCACCCCCGCTATTCTACTTACCTTTGTAGACTCAGAAAAGGCTTCTTAGTGCTCTGGTGCACATGTGCACGCAAAATGAATCAGTAGCAGACTTCAGAGCATTTCACCCCTGATATGTATGCATGTATTTTGTCATGTTTATGTAGTGTATATTGGAGGTGATGACCCATTACTATATGCAATGAAATTTCATTTTAATGTATGCCAATTACTGTACATTCAAAATCCCAATAAAGTTATTCTAAGTTCTAAGACCACAATAATGGCTGTTAAAAACCTATAGCTTTATGGAAGAGTGCCCAAACTAAATTGGTCTGAGTCGTACTAAATGCTGGTTGGTTTGTGTAATTTCACAAAAGATAGAAGAAAGTTGTGTGGTAAGATTCAGAAAATGCTGTACAGAAGAAGATACACCATGTTTTTTTTTTACTCAATGCGATGGATTTCTCATAAATTAATGATGATTGATGGTAAGATGTTCTGCAATTGAGGTTTTTTTTAACCTTAATGAATTTTCTTAATAAATCCCTCAAAATACAAAACAGTTACATTATGTCTTTCAGCAAATCCTGTGAACTCACAGAAAAACTGGGTCACAGGCTAATTACAAATTACAAAAAAAATTGCATTTTTGAAATAATATCCTTTAGAAATAATTGAATTGGTAGTTTATAGAGAAGAATATTCTTATGTTTTAATATTTTTACTAAAATATTAGATGTATAATTCATTTTTATGTAATACATAAAATTAAAATTAAATTAAATTAAAGAGAAACAAAATAATACTTAAAATACTTGGAGGACCATTATAAGCCTTACATAAAATGTAACCACTACTTTACAGAAAAACTGAGCAAGCAAATATTTCTTGGAAAAGCACTTGTAATACAAATGGGGCATTTTTTGAAAGTAAAAACTATTTTTCCCATACTTTATATATAGTTATCTTCAACAGAGCACGTGTTTTAGCATAATTTAAAATGTATTTGCTAGGGCCCGTTTATTTTAGGTGTATTTTTCTATTTATCTTGAAACTTCTACAAAAAGTTTGTTTTTCTCCAAAAAGTTAATGTATTACCTAATATCAGAGAGCTGCAACTGCTGACACAGTTCGTTTTTCAAACGATCTAATTCTTTTCTGAGTGGTAAGCTGTCCTCCAGCTTCTTTGTGGCACTTTTTTCATTATTATCTAACCAGGAGCTACATGGGTAAGAGATGGTAAGAAACAGATACAGATTACCACTGCATTTAAAAATTAGCAGCACAATAGATAAGCAAAACATTATTGTTGGAGTCTGCTATTTTCTGTTAGAAAGTTAAAAATCATGAGAGAACAGGAGAATATCTAATGGCTATTAGCACTAACAATATATAACTAATATAAAGTTAAGACCCAATACAAAATCCATTTTATGTGTAATTTAAAATTACCTATTGTCTAATTTTATATAATATTGAATTGGAAGTAGGTTTTTTGAGCATACAAGTCAGCGACCCCCTGCCCTGACCCTCCAAGATTCTCTAGACCCACTGTAGGTGTAAATATGCCTTTTAAGATTCTAATGCTCACTACACTTATTGCATATAGAGGGATTATATTTCTTTACAGAATTTTCTCATACAGACTCTTCTCTGTTCATGCGATGTTAAATGGAAACACATTCCTGTTCAATGAATATGTTTTTCAGAAATTTAAATCTAAAAAGCAAATACTTTCATTTCAATATTTGCGGTGAAAATTAGTGGATATAAAATATTTTATGCAGGTGAACACATTTTCTAGAAATCTTGTAGTTTGCTGATATCAAGTTTAAAACATAAAAAGGATGTTGGTACTTACCTGATACACCTCTTCTAATAGTGTGGAGATAGTATCCAGACATGGGTTGACATTGTCCGCTCTCAGATTGGACTGAGTCTGATTATTAATATTTAAGACAAGCCCCTGTAACTAGCCACACCCAGCTTTCAGTGAAGAAACACACAGACTCATGTGTCATCAATATAAACCAACAAACTTTTAGTAAACAATGAACACTGCCTCGATGAACTATATTACACTAAATATCAAGTAACAGGAATACAGAGGTATATGCAGCTATAACCTTCGGACCATCATGTTAAGGATCAATAACACCCCAGGGAGGGGCTGGATGCTATCTCCACAGTATTAGAAGAGGTGTATCAGGTTAAGTACCAATGCTCTTTCTCAATAGCTGTGGAGATAGCATCCAGACATGGGACATACCCAAGTTGTACTGTCCTTACAAGTGGAACAAAGACTGATCCAAAGTACCCTTTTAGGCATGAACTGCCTGAAAAACCCTGTGACCAAATGCCACTTCAGCAGATGCAGAATGTCCAACTTATAATTGGCTATGAAAGGAGAGGAAGATGCCCAGGTGGCCATCCAGCAGATCTCCTCTAGGGAGGCCTGCGCTGCCCAAGCAGCCATAGTGGCCGCACTTCTAGTAGAGTGGGCATTGATGCTCCTCGGGTCTGGTTCTTGTATGGAGTCGTATGCTCTGGTTATGTAGCTTCATAACCATCTGCCAATGGTTGAAGCTGAGACCTTCCTACCCATAGGGGTAGGCTGGAAGGAGAAAAAAAGTGTCTCCGACCTCCTAAAGGTAGAGGTGCGATTGATATAAATCTACAGGGTAAACTTGTCCTGCCAGGATATCTATAGATGCCCCCAAATAGGAGAATCTTTGTGGTGGGTTTTAAATGGCTCTTATGTCTATTAATGGAGAACCTGTAGGATTGAAGAACCTGTATTGTGATGGCTAGGTCCTCCCTAGCCCTGGTCCAGGAAGCCAATTGTACCAAGATGTCATCGAGGTAACGTATCCATACGAGAATTGTCTGCAGATGTGCTGCCAATGCTGCCAACACCTTGGTAAATGCCCGGGGGGCAGAAAAGAGATCAATGGATAACACCCGATTTTGGTAGTGATAGTTCCCATAGCAGAATTTCAAAAACTGCCGATGGTCACGTAGGATAGGAATATGCAAGTATGCCTCCGTCAAGCCAATGGACGTGAAGAAGTCATTTTCCTGCACTCCGGCCAAGATGGATTGCAAGGAGTGCAGTTTGAACCTTCTATATTTCAGGTGACAGTTGAGCCATTTTAGGTCCAGAATCACTCTCCACCCCCACCCCCACCCCTACTCTGAGGCTTTAGGGATAACAAATAAAATAGAATAGAAGCCCTGATGCAGTTAATCACCTGGCACCTTCTGGATAGCTTTGATGTGCAAAAGGTGTTGGATTGCAGACCGCATCCGAAACTGTCTGTCAGGATTACGAGACACCGGACAACGGATGAAGAACCGTCGAAGGGTGGAGATAAATTCTAAGGCCAGGCCTGCCTTGACAGTGTTTATAATCCAAGTATCGGAAGTGGTCACTCCCACTGATCGGAGAAGTGTGCCAAATGCCTCCCAATAGAAAACTGATCCCTGGGTTGATTAGAGTCTGCGGTAATAGCGCCTCCCTCCACACTGAAAGGGACATTTTAACTGATTGCCCTTCTGGGGTCTGTGATACTGCTGTCTTTGCCTCTGACCATAACCACCCTGGTCATAGCTTCCCTGGGACGTGAACCCCAGGTTGGTGTACTCCAAAGTACGAAGGGAATTGCCATAATCATGGGCATGAAATGGCTGCCTTTTCATATAAGGAGCCGGGCGGGAAAACCCCTTTCTAGAGGCTGATGGTAAGATCTTACATTTGTCTTTGTTTTCAATAAGTAAGGGGTTAAGGGCCTCCCCAAATAGGGAAACCCCTTTGTAGGGCTCAGATGCCAGACGCCACTTGTGTCGCATATCTGCTTGCCATTGTCGCAGCCAAAGCAAACGGTAAGAGGCTATCAAAGATGCCATTGCTCAGGACACGAATCTGGTGGCATGAAGAGTAGCATCCGAAGAAAACTGGACTGATGCGACGATCTTGTTAAGATTTTGATGGGCTCTGGCATCAGTCACCAAAATTCTCTCTTGCAATTGCTGCAGCCAGAAGAGGCTTGACCTGGAAAAAAACGAAGCCACAGTAGACACTCGAACTGCCCATGCAGCCATCTGGTGTCCCCATTGTAGGGTTAGGTCAGCCCTCTTGTCCTCAGGTTTGAGGACCTCCTCCTGCAAGCCTGGCATGGTGGTGTTCATATATAGTGCCGATTTCAGGGCATCTATGGTGGGCGACTGCAGCAGTTTATCAAGGTCCTCCGCCATGTTGTAGAAACGTTTGTCAGTGGAGGAAGGAGCTGGACCAGCTGTTGGGGTAGACTACTGATGCTGCACTACATCCACAAACAGCTGAGGAGCTGGGATGACCTCTGCCTCCTCTTTCCGTTCAGTAAAAATGCAGTGGATGTCAAGGCCTGTGATGCTGCCACCTGCCCTCCAAGGTCAGCTGCCGTCTTCACCTTGCATAGCTGGAAAGAGGGTTGGAAGAAAGAGGCCAGCAGAGATAGGTGTTTCCGGGACCAAAGTGTTATCACCTGATAGATCAGCTTCCCTGATTTCCCCTTCTTCGGACACAGGTGATTGACTGCATAGAGGCTGGTCAAGGGATTGGCCCTTTATCTCAGGAAGGTCAGGTTGCTGTACTAGGGGAACTATAGGGGCCCTCGCTGGTTTCTTTGTGGCTCGTCTTTGCATACCAGCAGCTATGCCCTGCTTGATGGCCTCAGCAATTATATTTTGCAAATTAGGCATGGCAACAGAGGCCAACTGTAAGTCAGGCTGGCCCCTGCAGCAGTAGGTGTGAAAGAAGCTTCCAGACCTCTGCCTTGACCCACTGTGAAGCTTAAACTGTGAAGGTCAGGTAAAGGCCTGAAGTGTTGATAGGCAACATAGGACTGAAGGGGCCTGGTTCATTACCCAGTCTCAATGGGGACAGGCATAGAGACTGGCTGTCCAAGGACTGGGCTCGGTCACTTTGGAGGATGAGGAATGTGACCCCTGTATCCCTGACTTGTCCTTATGTCTGGACAACTTAGCGGTTGATTTTGCAGACTTTTTTACCTGGCAGATTTGTCTGATTTCTTATGGCCCTTCGTCCGCTCTCCTCTTTGAGAGGTAAATGACAAGGGTGGTGATACAGGAGATGGTGCTACAGCCAGTAAACTTGTGCCTGACACCTGGCCTTCTCTGTGAGACTTAGGACCGCACCACCTTGGGACGTGGCGCACACAAAATAGCGTTTGCGCCTTCCTCACAGGGCTTACTGGCGCCAAAAATGGCAGTTCACACTTTTTTTCTTTTTAGCGAGCTACCGATGTTGCGCCCCTGGAGCTACAAGTGTGGCGCAATCAACAGGAGAGCTCTGCCTTTGATCGGGAGATTAAGCCAGATCACGCAGCAAACTGCTCCCGCGTTCTCCCTGCTGCTGCGAGCTTCTGCGAGGATGAAAGGAGCCGCACCGCTATCACCTCAGTGATGCTTCTGTCAGGCGGTGATTTACTCTGCCGGCACCCTGGCTGTGAAACGGGGATAGGCAAATCTCCGGACTGAAGACAAGGTAAAATACAACCTCTTGCAGCTTCCTTGCCTTGCTACAATGATGGTGGTTTGTAGCCGAGCCAAATTGCAGTCCGTGCTCCCAGGCTACCAACAATGAGCGCTAAGTTCTCTTCCACCCTTTGCCAGCCATTTGATAGTCTTTAATCAGGGGAGAGCCAATGGGCACAAGGCCCCTTCGGCCCCAGCTGATGTGGCCCCTTGTACTGGCTTTTAGCGGCAGATGGACGCTCAGGAGGAATATATAAAGTACTCACAGATATATATTTTGATGAAAAGTCTAAGTTTTACAGTAATAGTAGTAGTACACCAATTATACAAAGGAAAAGCTTGATGACACGTCCTGTGCTTTTGGAGTGGATTGAGTCGACAGGGGCATATCTTAAATATTAATAATCAGACTCAGTCCAATCCAAGAGTGGACAATGTCAACCCATGTCTGGATGCTATCTCCACAATTATTGAGAAGTGCATGGTCAAAGAAAGACAATGGGCTCATTGGCTGGGAAAGATCTCTGCCTCAAACAGAATAGTTTGTAAAGAAGTCAACTGAGCACGTTTTTACATAACTACCTCAGGGTGGTTTCCATCCTCTGGGCTTGCTCCAGTTCTTCCTCAGGATCCTTGAATCCAGTAAAAGAATAGTATGTCTTGTCCCATTTAATAGGCCTGTGAAACATTCTTTTGGTTTCCTGAGTATTTACACTGCCGTTCAAGCTTTGGACATGATCCGTAGATAAACTGCAGGAGTTCAAGATATCTAATACTGTGCTTAACAAGTCTCTGGTATGCAAAGTAAAACTCACTGCTCGAAATCCTATGAAATGCACAGAACAAAGCTGTATTTAAGTAAATGCATTTATATTGTTTCTATACTTGCTTTAAAAGACAATGCAAATCAGAGTTGAAGATTAAAGTTTTATTGTTAGTTAATCATAATGCTAAGTCTGAGATTGTTATAAAGATCTGATTTCTATTGAGAATACTTGATACAAGTTCTGCTGCATGAATTCAGCAGAATTTGTACCAAGATTGATAGCAATAGATTTTCCTATAAAGAGCTTTACTAATCTTATTGATTATCACTGTACTAATCAGACATTTGATCTGCAAGAGCTTGATAAAAATATAAAATTGGATACTATTTTATATAAACCATACAGTACAATCAGAGTGTGCCAACAAACATTCTAAATAAAAAAGCTACTGTCTGTATACAATTACACTGACATTTCAAAATAATTTTCCATTTCAAAATAATTTATCCATTACTATATTTTACAATCTTTTGTAATTTCTAGTCTGTTAAATGGTATACAAATGGAATAAAACAAATGAACAAACTAGACATTATTCATTTACAGCAATCTCACCAACCTGGTGTATTCCAGTTATATTAAGCTGAAACATCCAGCATGAAGGACACCAGATTGGAGAAGAATATCCTAATTTTTCCACCCTGGAGATGATTTTAAATTATGCAATTATTTCCACAATAACATTATTGGAGATTTTTTCCCCTCTTTAATCATGTCTGATTCTTAGATACAATCTGCATAAATCCTTGCCCTGCAACTTTCCTGGCCAAGTTTTTATTGTCCCTTCCTAGAATTTAGAAAAAGTAACTAGTCCAAAGTTATCCATCTTTGCTTCCACAAAGGTGGAACTCATGGTCTCCCAGTTTCTAGTGTGATGCCTTGACCACTATATCAAACTGCCCCTCATAAGGAAAATATTAATAACAGAAAAAAGCTAAGCCCCAATCTACCATTTGAAAATGCAAAATTGCATGTAAATTTTAGTTTAAAATGAATATCCTACCACTAAATCAGGCAAGATATTATGCAGTTTTAGATAGTCCTCGATTTACATTCATAATTGAACCAGAATTTCTATCATTAAGCAAACTGCATAGTTTAGCAATGGCAATACACGCGAGCCTGTTTGACATCATCAACTGAATCCCAAAGTGGTTAAGAAAGGCAAGAAAGGGATGTGGAGGTGGTCAGGAAGGGTGCATGTAGCTGCATGAGAGGTGCCATGCAGATCAGTGAGGGTGTCTAGGGATGCGTAAAGAGGTAATTCAAAAGTTAGGGGGTGCATAAAATAGACACTAAGCAGGTCAGGTATAGTATGCAGGGGTTCATGAGAGCCCTGCATGTGTTTAAGAAGGGTGTATGGTGCCACCCTAGCAACTTGCAACTTTCCCTGTTGGCTTCCCCATTATCTTTCTGGGGAAAACAGCAGAGAAGATGACAAATTGCAATCATGTGATTGCAGATGCTTGGCAACTGGTCATATCCAAATGCCCAGGGTATCCAAATGCCCAGACTGAAATCATATGATCATGGTGGTCCAAGTGCTTAGACAGGTATATTTCTAAGAACCAACTGTAACCATTGTACATTCAGCACCATTGTAACTTCTAACAATCATTGGATAAATATAACTCAAGGACTATCAGTACATGATGCATTTATATATTGACAAAAGGAATAGTAAAGTCACTATGGATGCAGAAGGAAATCTTTAAGAAGATATATTGAAGATTTCCTGGCACATAATTTAAAAAAAAAATCAAACACAAGAGGAATGTCAGTTATCCATAATCTGTCAGTGATTTAGTAAAATTCCAAATGTTAAAAATACCTGCAGCACCAAATGATTCTTGGACACTGGAAGGGCTTTGTTCTCTCTCTCGTACATAAAAAGTGAGTCGAGTTGGTTTAAATGACCTGAAGCCTGGTTTCTGGAGATTCTCCAAATACCCATTTAATCTTTTCAGAGAATTTTCATTGATTTCCTGAAAATAACAAAATACTCAAATGCAGACACAGATTACCTTAAAGCAGATACATTAGAAATAGATTACAACCATCTTGCTTAATAAAATATATTCCAGATGATCAAATATTTTTCTTTAACTGGATTTTTTCAGTTACACTGAAAGATTATATGGTGTGTTGTTTAGAATATTTCTATTAAAAGGTAACACATTATGATTGCTTCAATGATAAATGAAGAAAATTCACCTGTGTCATTTTCTTTGCCAAAGAATCCCAGCAATCACTCAATTAATGAAACATTGTTTACAGATTTTTTACATTTTTATTTTAGTAGAATTATATCCCAATATCAAAACAACTTACCTTATGTGTGGCCAGAATCTGAAAATAACATTTAACACAGCAGAGTACATAAGCAAAATGGTTCCGTTGAGATCAGCATATGTGGGACTAATTGGAGTAGATTGTAGGGGTGATACCGAAATGTAATTTTATAATATTTTATTTATCTATATATTACATTATTTTATTTCATTCCAATTTCATTTTAAGCTGTATTTTATTCCAATTTCATTTTAAATTGTATTCTATTTCAATTTCATTTTAAATTTTATTTTATCCAATTCCATTTTAAATTGTTTTTATCAGATTTTAGTAACAATTTGTGTCTGGAACTCTGCACTTTGATATGGTTAATCAATAAAGTCAACTAACTAACTTGAATTATATGCTAACTCCAATCTATGAGAAGAATGTATACCTAAATAAATATACAGAATTCGAACAACATATATCTAACAAAAACCATGCAGCTATCATGTGTCTGGGCAGCACAAATCAAATAAAGAAGTTATCCAAATTGCCAAAAAAAACCAACAAATGATGTAATTTCCATTTTCCAGTCTGCCCAAAAAATACATCAAGTTTTGATGACTTTTCTAAATCTAAGAAGGTTTGGATTAGCCAAATTCCAGGTGAACATTGTTTTATAGAAGGCTCCAGTTAACTGCATAAATTTTAATTTCTTTATTATAAGTAAGCAATGTTTTTCGGATATTCAAGTTCTTTCTGAGTGTGTGCTGTTTGTATTTTCAGGGCCACTGTCTTTTTCCTAAGGCTGAGAGGAAGTGACTGACTCAATCTAACGCATCTCACTTCATGCATAAATCAGGATCAGAACTCATGGTATTCCAGTTTCTCACAATTTTTAGCCTGATACATTCATTTTTACACTAGTCTGATTTATCCAATCTGTTTTATCTATAAATACATATATATGTTCCGAAAATATGATTAAAAGAATAATCTTTATCTCTTACAAAAGGATGTCTCTTTTAAATAGATAGGCCATAGTTTAATAGTAAACAATTTGCACATGTTTTGTGTGTGGAAAATACTACATTACAATATCGATTTCAGATTAACAATCTACTAGTTGAGCACAGACTTCAGTTAACCTAGAAGTAGTAAATAGTGCAGTCTTAGGTATGTTCAAAATTCAGATTTGTTTAAATACATAGAATTCTATCTCAAAAAATAGAAGTATTTTACCCTTTCTCTGGGATGCTGACCAAAAAAATCTGGATGTACTGCAAAATAGAATGGTCGCAGAGCATTTATAGCATCAGCCCCAGATAATGCTCTTGCCTGCAATTGTAGTTTCTTGAAATATAACCTTAAACAAACAATCAAGCATTGTTAGCCAACCAAACAGAACACCAAAAGCTTTGCTCAGGGTAATGACATGTTACATGAAGGATGGATAAGTCAATAAAATTAGATTTGATTTTTCTAGGTTACAACAGCATAGAAAAAAGTGATTTATAACTATTTTTCATACTTATGAAAGTTTCAATATCCTCACAGTTACATGATCAAAATTCGGATGCTAGGCAGCCAGTTCTTATTTATGACAGTTGCAGTTGCTGTGATTGTGTGATCATCTTTTGCAACATTTTAAAAAACAAAGCCAATTTAGAAGCCAGTTTCATTTAACATGCATGTTACTAACTTAATAAGTGCAGTGATTCAATTATCTTGCTTAGCAATGGAAATTTTGGCCTCAATTGTGGTCATAAGTCAAGGATTACCTATATTTTCTGTCAAAAAGTACTTGCCTAATATTTAAAAAATATAATTTATAAGATTAAATTATTGAACCAAGTTAAGAATTCTAACTCAATTCACTCTTTATTCAAAGGAATATAACCCTTTAAAATGGTATGTTAAAAACTATAGAAAGAATCACTTTACCTCCTTACTGTCAACCAATGGCAAAACATCTTTGTTTAATCTGGATTCCAAACTGATTCTAAATATCTATAAACAAAGAAAAAATCATTAATATATATTTTCTAGTGTTACTTATATTTCAAGTTACAAAATTTAACTGAAAAATATTTGATATTACATTAAATTATTTTAAGTAATGGAAATTACTGTCTGCTTAACATTGTGGAACAAAAACTTGATAGCTTACAAATTGATGAAAAGAACATGTGTCCTCAAAACAATAAATCCCAATCATTCTGATACAAAAATATTAAAGCTACTTCCCTTGGCATGCACTTCAAAGTTAAGATGAAATGGACCAGAAAGATAAAAGGTACTGAATCAAAATTATTGCTGATGAAAAATGTAAAGCTACTAAAAATTGAACTTGTCATTTTCTTTCAACAATACAGAAATTGTTAGCTAATGTCTTCTTTCAATATGTTTGATTTTCCAATCTAAATTATAGCACTGGGATTTTCTGGAAGCCTCCTATAGAAGGACTGATCAGATCTAAACATGTTTAATTTTTCAATAACAGCAAATGCTATCTAGGTGTTATTTTATTTAAATATATCTACCGATATAGTTACAATATTCATAAAGATTCTTAATTATTAACATTGTAAAAGTTTTTCAGAAGCTTATATAAGGCAATTAATTTCATGTACTTAAAAATGCAGGCAAAATACACTTATTATATAACAGAAAATGGTATACAAATAGACCCATTAAGCTGCATGCCATTCCAAAATCCATTTGTTTTAACTTCTTTGGGACTGCCTGCCTGGATCGGTATTTAACACATACACACACACACCGAAGGACAACTTGGATTCAAGACGTTCAAGGCCTACGCGAAGGACATCAGCGGAGAGAGTCGTACAACTATCCAGAAAAATGCCCAAAAGGTTTTGAAGCATGAAATTACTAAAGCACTGAAAGCAAACCCTTGTTCTTACAACCCAGTCATTAGGCGCTTGGGGTGTTACACCAACAGTTTCCCGTCACAGTAACCGCTCCGCCTGCTGCCGCTCCCCGCCTCAGCTGTTTCTTCAAGGAACAGGGATACCATGGCTTCAACACGGAAAAGCCCCAAGGTGCAGACAGCCTGATACAATCCCTTCACACGGCACCTCCTCCGCCCAAGAAGACCTTTTGAGGTGTAGGAAGGCGCTCCGCCCGCCAACGTATTTCTGCCACCCCCTCGACGTCACCACTGCCGCCCCTAAAGCCCTCCCCCTCCATCGCGTTTTGAAAGGCGGAGCGGCACCGCTCGCAATTCTGCGCCGTTGCTGTTTCAAGAGGCCGCGCCGCTTAGCAGACGAATTTAATTTAGGTCCCTTTATAATATCAGCTGAAAGTCTTCGATTCCTTTAATTGGAACTGGAATTCAGCTCCCCAACCTTGTCTTTATTTGTGGGCTTCGTGGAGCGCATGTACAAGGGCCAGCACTCAACCGGTGGCAGGCACATTCCCTGAAAGCGCTTATAAGTTCATTCATTCTAGACTTCAGAGTAAATATACCATAAGCGGGCGACCATCTGCTGCAGAAAGAATGAAATTCCTAAACAACTATTGGAGGTACTGCACAAACGTTATTCACTCAGTGCAGTTATCTTATTAAATCTTCTTCAATTGACTGGCCAGTAGCAGCTATAGGGATCAGAATTCTAGTAACATTTATAAAGTGCATTTTATTTAAAGACATCAGGTTTCCTGAGCTGAAGTTCATTTTATCAAATGTGATGGAGAAAAGTCAGTTCAGGATGCGGTTGATGCCTTTTGATGAAACATGGTAATCTGAAACCTCTGATTTTTAGCCACTATAACACAGCTTTCCTAAATATCTATGGTGATACACAAACACAAGGTGGGTTTTTTTGCCCTCTCTCCTGCAACTTTTACTTCCCAGTATAATCTATAATCTTGAGATTTCTTGATGGTGTTCTATCAAACGAGTAACAAGTCTGAACAATTGGTCAGCCAGGTGTTATGGTGATATCCAAACATATAATAGTAAATTTATTGTTCAATTAGTTAAGAATTAATTATATTTATTTTTCCCCAGAAATTGGACATCTTAGAAATGCTTTATGAGTTTTCAAACAGTATAATCTAGATGCAAATGATGGAAGATCTTTGGAATTACATAGGAAAATAAGAGGAATTGAGAATGAATTTTTAGGTTGCCAATCATCTCAGTGATGGAGTTCATTAGAATAAATCACATTATAAAACATAGATCCAAAAGAAAAAGGCTGTACTACTAAAAGTTCTTAATTGAAATGTTTAATATTTAGATTTGCTTTACATCTCTTAAGAATTGTGTGTTAAAAGAATAATTATATAACTAACATATATCCAATAGTTGCCCATGCCTTCAAACCTCAAATTTGAAGAAGACAAGTTTGCACCAAAGCTTAATACAAAATGCTATGGCTTGGGTACCGATTCAAATTAGGGTTATGAGTGTGGTATAATCAGCTGGTGTTAATCCAAAAGTTATTTCAAGGCCTGAATATCTGAAGGACTATCTCTTCTTGAATATTCTTGCCTGAGGAATATTTAATTCCCTATATTACTCCCTACATGATAAAGACGTCACAAAAAACAAAAAATAAAGAGTGATAAGTCTTTAAAGGAGAACAGCAACTTTGAGATTAATGCATCAAATCACTTTACTCTGCTGCAAGATTTGGAAGAGATGAACATTATAAACCAAATGTCAATTTGCGAAGCATTCCTGACCTGTTCTCGAGTTGCCATAGGCAGGGGGATGGGAAAACCAAGCCTCACAGTTGCATTGAGGAATTTGCATTTCAAGCAAAACAAAGCACATTTCAGCAGCAACATCAAAATCATCTCTAGGTAGACCCATAATGGCTGGAGGGAGTGACTTCTACAACCCACTTTGCTTTGTTGGGGAATGTGACTGATGACACACCTTGGGGAGAAGGGGAAACATAGTCAGAGGTGGGGCGTGAATTACCATGTTTTTTGGACTATAAGATGCACCTTTTCCTTCCAAAATGGATGCACAGAGGGTTTGGGAGGCCTGTAGAGAGCTCCCGGGACTCTGGGAGGGCAAAAATGAGTGAAAAGGGGTCCATTTTTCACAAAAATTGGGTGGTTTTGCCCTCCCAAGTCCCCAGGAACACTCTGCAGACCTTTCAAACTCTGTGCATGTCCCGTTTTTTTGTGAAAAATGGGCATGTTTTCACAAAAAACGGGCCGGTTTTTGCTTGTTTCCCAGGAGCTTTCTACAGGCCTCCCAAACCCTCTGCATGCCCCATTTATCACAAAAATGTGCAGAGGGTTTGGGAGGCCTGTAGAAAGCTCCTGGGAAACAAGCAAAAACAGGCCCGTTTTTTGTGAAAACATGCCCATTTTTCACAAAAAAACGGGACATGCACAGAGTTT